AGAACCAGCTAAGCCGTTGGCTATTGAGGCGGCTCCATCTTCTGGGCAACCACAGACCGAGTCTGCGCCTGAATCTGCAGCTGATCCTGAGTCAGCTGCACAGGAAACTACAGCTGCTTCCGAGTCAGCTGCACAGGAAACTGCAGCTGCTTCCGAGTCGGAAGCGCGAGAAACTGCAGCTGAATCCGAGTCCGCAGCACCGGAAACTGCAGCTGTTACTGAAACAGCAGAACATGTGGATGGACCAGTAACAGAGACAGTGTCTGAGCCTCCTGTGGCAGAGAAGGAGGAGACTCCTGCGGTAGACAAAAGCGATCCATCTTCAACTCCAAACACAGAAACAGCTCTAGTCGCCACAGAGGATAATAGCCAAACCATGCCTCCGCCACCGCTGCCTGAACCCGTTACAACAACAGCGAAACCAACAGAGAATGCAGCAACCGGGAGACCACAAGTAACCTATCCTCCAATAAGAAGCCAACCAATTGATTTTGGTTTCTAGGATGTGGCTAAAGCCAAGTTTGCACAAAAGATCCCAAAACTAAAGACGACGAGTGTGTATATCCTTTTAGATATACACTTGTAGTGAAGCTTTGTGTGGCCATATTGACTAGAAGAAGAAGACGATGCTATTCATATGTTTTGTGTCTGCGTGTTTTAATATATAGTTATGTGTCATTTTCGTTTTCTTATATGTTTTCTATTCATTTTATTAATGGTCTGTATCACTACCATTTAAACAACAACAAAAAACTCTCTGAGGTATGTCTATGTGAAGCGTGTAAACTGATAGAAAGAGATTTGATTTGATAACATTGTATTTTTTTCTTCATTCGATTTAATCTCCTCTTGACATATGCCAATAAACAAAACCATGGAACTTCGAAATTGGATGTATTCGTAGATGCTTAAAATATTCACACTTGGAAAGATACCATTGGCTCTTTATGACCGACTTGAAACCCTCTGTTTGAGCCAGAAGTATTAGAGCTCGAGTTGGTGGAAAAAAAAAAAAGAGAAAGGAACCAAGATTGGGTTTGTTCTGTATAATCGTCTCATTGGCGATATCTCCTCTTCTCATCTCTCTGACATCCCCAAAAGAGAGCAAACACACGCCTTTCTCTTCAAGAAGCCTCACAAATCTTCACCTGAATCCCAAAAAGGTTGAGTCTTTTAAAAGAAGCCATGTC